TGCTAGATGACTTTCTATTGTTTGGCAGTTAGCTATTGTTACCAATTAATCTAAAGAAAAACTTTCAAATTCTTATTTTTTATCAATATATATGAAATGTTCCCTCACTGGGTGGTGTTCCTTCACTGGTTGGTTTACCCTATAAGATGCAAGCCAAAACGCTTGTTTTAGGCTAATTTTAAAAAAATCTATCTCTCTTTTTATTCGCACCGTCATTTTGCAGTGCTCCCAGCCAATTCAAAAATCTTCGTTTTGGAATAAATGCAAGGATTCAGTGTCTCTAAACTATTCAGAAACTCAACTACTCAGATTTTATCAAAACTTTTTCCAAAATGTGTAGGATTGAATGGTTATTCCAACCTCTTTCATGATGATTTCTGCTGTAAAATTGATTACCTTTATTGCTACTATGTAAATGTAGCTCTCAATGTTTTTTTTTTAATTATTTTTACGAAAAAATGCCATATTGTAGCTAGATGCAATATTGTAGCTAGAATGAACTGTGAATAAAAATGCAATATTGTGGCTAGAATGAACTATCTGCATCCAAATATTTAATCTTAAAGATTTTAACAAAATACAGCTGCGAGCTAACAGGGCCCTTAACCCTTTGGTGGAAAATTTTTATTAAACATATTTTTAATACTTTGTTTCATTCTTTTGTATTAAATTAGGTCAAAATAAGGGGTAAATATTACATTGAGCTTCTTAATAATTTATATTTATGGAATACAGCATGGAACACTGGTCTCTTTTTCAGAGAAAATGATAAAATCTTCCAAACACGGTTCACTTCAAAACAATAATTTTTATAATTTGAGCTCATTTGTAGTTATTTGGATCTAAAAAAATTGTTATTCATCATTGAAAGTTTTAATTTTACAAAATCAATTATTCATAAATTTTTGAATATAACAAAAAAAAAACTTTTCAAACTACTTTTTTTCCGGATTTTATATTTTAGTACATATATAATTCCGATAATCTAACAGATTTTTTACAGTAACTATTAGACAATTTTAATAATTAAAAATCACCCTACCTATTTATTTTTGCTTGAACTAAGCGATCCAGAAAAAACATATATAAAGGGGTTAGAAATTAGTTGAGTAAAAAGTGTTAAAAAAACACATTGTTATGCCTCGTGTATTTTTTTATTTTTATTATTATTATTATTAAAATTGCGACGTATTTTACTGGGAGGAACGGGATTAAGCTTTTAAAGAAAAATAAATTTAGTTTGTAATGAATATTTACTTTATACGAAAAACATTTAATTTATCTTAATTATGAAAAGAAAAATTCTTAACGACATGTGAGGTATATATAACAATGGCATATGAACACTTTCTCTTTTGCTATAAAACTATTTTTTCTTTTTTTTTTAATGCTGTCTTTTTTTAGGCACAACGAGAGAAAATACTTCAACCGAAACAACATTAACGGATGTACCACCTACCCCTAAGAACATTTTTACAGATTCCACCGAGAGAGGAACGTCAGAAGAAATTGTAACCAAAGTATCAGAAACAACTCTTGAAGATAGATCTACTGTTACAGAGGTACCTTCAACTCAAACAGAGCAGGAAGCAACGACTAAAAGAATCGTAACTGAAGGAAAAACATCAAAAATCACAAATCGTATATCTACTGCTTCTGAAATCATTCCAACAATAATTCCCGAAACAACAACCCATTTAGGTAAGTGATAATAAACGATGGATTATTGAAATCACAAGGTTACCCTAAAATATCTATCCAGTTTCAAACAGTACAAAGCATTCACCTTATAAAGGCGAGTGATACACGAGAGGAAACGTACAATCGCTAAGTTTCTGTTTTATGCTTTAAATCATCAATGTGTGCCCCTTAGTTACCCGACACACCTGCCAATGATAAACTAATTCTATCAGTCCAAAGCTTCTGTTCATGGAAAGCTTCCATGCATGGATGATTCATGGAAAGATACAAGATTCATGGAAAGCTTCTGTTTTATGCTTTAAATCTTCAATGTGTGCCCCTTAATTACCGACACACATGCCAATGGTAAACTAATTCTATCAGTCCAAAGCTTCTGTTCATGGAAAGCTTCCATTCATGGATGATTCATAGCAAGATTCATGGATGATTCATGGAAAGATTCATGGATGATTCATGGATAGATGCAAGATTCATGGAAAGCTTCTGTTTTATGCTTTAAATCTTCAATGTGTGCCCCTTAGTTACTGACACACATGCCAATGGTAAACTAATTCTATCAGTCCAAAACTTCTGTTCATGGAAAGCTTCCATTCATGGATGATTCATGGAAAGATTCATGGATGAATCATGGAAAGATACAAGATTCATGGAAAGCTTCTGTTTTGTGCTTTAAATCTTCAATGTGTGCCCCTTAGTTACCGACACACATGTCAATGGTAAAACTAATTCTGTCTGTACAAGAGCAGGTGATGCATGAAAGATACCTTCACCAAGTTTCTATTTTATGCTATAAATCTAAACCCTTTGATATTTTAGATCCAGTTGATCAAGGTGTTCATTCACCTTGCGTGTCCCTTAGTTACCCAACACACACGCCACTGGAAAAATAATTCTCTCTGTTCAAGAGCAGGTGATACATGAAAAGATACGTACACTCAACAAATTTCTATTATATAGTATAAACCTTCTACGTCTCCTTGGTTACCCGATACACGAACCACTAGTAAACTAATTCCATTTGTACAAAGGTGGGAGGTACATATGGTAGAAAGGTACGGAAAGATATGCTCAGATAGTTACTTACTACAATTCTTACACGTAAGCCCATGGTGACCCGACATACATTCCACTGGTAAATTAATTCTATCCATATTTTCAATACTATCAATGTCCGTCTCAGCAATACGGTTGTAGTTTTATAGGCATAAAGGTACCTAATCATTGTCTTTTACAAGTTTTTTGTCCGTCACAGGTTTATGTGTAGACTATGTTAGCCACATCGTATCACATAAAATAAAACAAAAACAACATTGAATAAGAAATAAATATTTTACAGATGATAAGGACTTCACAGTTAAAAAGAGATTATTACTTAAATTAATTTTATGCTGATGGCAGCCAAAGATTTCCGAATATTCTATTTTAGTTAAGGATCTCATTAAATGGCTTTTTCTACCTAATAAGAATGCGCCATGCAACAACGAGAAACAGTTAAGATCACTATCTTTTAATGCTATACAGGGTGTCTCATAAATATTAATACGAACTTTAAGGAGATCTGGGGCACATCATAAGAATTGAAAATTGCAAAATTTGACTGAGGATGATGAGTTGACAACTATCAAGTGAGTCCCCAAAATAATTATATTGATATAAAACAACTTTTATAGAGCCTATTTGAAGCAATTTCCGACAATAGTTAGTAGAAAACCTAAAATTAACACTAGACGCACTAGCCTATAATACAGAGGTACGTCTGGTGGCGAACGACGAATTTTCGGCCATGGATTACAGTGCAACTGTCAATTCTTACGATATACTTCTACCTCCCTTAAAGTTCCTACCAATATTTATGGAGTATCCTGCATAGAATTATAAAACTTGAAGTGTTTTCCGTATTACTGTGCATTGAAAGTACTTGACACAGACTAAATGATTTTGCTTAAAAAATATACTTCGATTAAAAAAAAAAATAATTATCATTTCACATATAATATTTCAATGATTTTTTTATAACTACATATGCACTTAATTTATAAGAACTAAAATGACACAATTCAGTTAAAAAGAGTTTCAGAAAAATTATTCAGCTTATTGAAGCAAAGAAATGCTTAGCTGTTCCTGATGAGAGAGTGCGAACATCATTAAAAAAACTCTTTAAAAAGCATTCATTAAATTTAAAAATTGATCATTTCTAATTTTCTAAAAATTACTCATTAAATACAAAATCATATTTATGTTTTATTTCTATACTTTTGACAGATAAAAATAAAGATAATGTAATAAATGAAAACCCAGATTATGATTGCGCTGAAACTGATGGATTGTTTGCTCATGAGAAACACTGCAATTATTATTACACTTGCAAAAACAATAAGGCAGTTCTAAAAGAATGCCCTCAAGGTCAAGCTTTTGATAGTCACAGGGAACGCTGCGAAGATTGGTACTTGGTACATTGTGGAAACAGACTTCGACCTGATGGTATGTAAAGTAATATTTTTATAATTATCTTCACTCACTGTAAAAACTGTCGTGCAATACCTCTCCGAATTTGAGTTGAATAGGTGAAAAAACTCTTTACTTTAAGTTACCATGAAATCGAGCATTCATATACATTTTAATTGTTAGAGGGCTAGTAGTTTAGTAGGGTGTAGTTAAATCTAATCACTAATAATTAAGAATGCTTGTACCTAGCTCGTGCGCATTCATACCATTCGGGCATTAGTACACATTTTGGTGTATTTTGAATATCTTCAGTAGATTTACGAAATGGCATGAGCTTATTATCTTGCACTATGCTCTACATTTGCAGAAATGGAAATTTACTGTAACAAAATGTACACATGATTCTAGTTGCACAGTAAGGATTGTAGAAACTAGAATAACGTTCTCATATTTTCGGGAACCAAAGACAATATGAATACATCAGAGGATAAAAATAAAATATTTATTTTCCGGAAAAAGGTACAGTCACAAAACTGAGTGACTAACTTAAAATAAATTAAAATACAAAAGTGTATAACACGCTGAGTAGCAGTTATCGAAAATGCCCACCTTCATCTGTGAAAAGGTACCCCAATATAGAAACGAGTTAACATATCTTAAATACTAGTGAATTGTAGTTGTAATTTTGTAGTGGTAGATACGCTACAGGATAATTAAACTTTAATTTTCAAATCTCTGTCAATTATATTAATTAAGTTTATTATAATCAAATTATATTTCCTTCCGTTCTGTTAAGCCTAATTCGAGCTTTCAATATTTTTTATTTACTATATGTTTCATTGATTAACAAACTAAATTTATTTTAATAATTAGTGTGTGCTTGCATCCTGAACAAATTGCTCTTACTTTAAATTGTATCCTAAATATAATTTTATTGACTCTTGTGCGTATCTTATATTATAATTATAAATGCTAGTGTTACTGAAACATAGTGTTATCAAAATATCAGAAATGGGTAAACTACTAGACACCAAAAGTGGTGAAAGGTAACATTCCTGGAGTTTCACTACGCCACTTAAGATTTAGAGTAGTTGCCGTAGTACTTAATTTACAGTAGTAGTAATTCATTTTTCGTGGTAAGATACACTAAATGTTTTTACAAATACATATTTTAATTATAAATCATTCCACAGGACATGAAGTGAAAACCAATTACATCAAGGTTTTTAAACTTCAAATTTATGTGGTTGCAATACTTTAAGCTAATATTAAAAATGGTTTCGTAATTAAGAATTAAAATAAGGGTGAGGTTAAAAATAAACTGAAATAAATGAAATAATCTTTTTCTTTTAGAACTTGATCATACGTTTGATGATTTCCAAAGCACTTATGAAGATAGAAGAACTTCTACTCCTTATCCATTCACTAGAACTACTCCAGGTAATGTAACTCGAGAAAAATAGTATACTTACAGCGCAAGAATAATAGTATAATAAAGAGAAAAATAGTATACGTAACTAAAATATATTATTTTTCTCTTTATTGTATCAGTTTTTACATATTGACTTTATTTACACTCTGTATTAGATTAATTGATAGATACAATAAAACCGAATTGATCCTATATGCTGAGGAAAAAAGTATTGCCAAAACTACCAGAATATGGGAACACCAAGAAAGCTGGGTACTTTTTACCAAAGCACTTTGGTTGGTAAAGGTTTTGGTAAGATTAATCATGATATATGGTTTTATAACAGTTGATAAAATTTGGTAAAAGTTTAAAAAAAATTGGTAATTTTATCATATCTTAGAGAATGGCGAAAAAATCATTTAAGTTAAATTGACTTCTCAATTTTGTATTTTTTTACTAAACGTGTGGTATTACAAACTATAGTTTTGAAAATCAGAATTTCTGGTAAACCGTTACCATATGAATGAAAAAAGTACCAAATGAATAGTTTACGTACGATTGAATTTGCTTTTTATACCAGAACAATGTTTGTTTGTTTTTTACTAGAAATGTCATTACTATACAGTACGGTAATTTTAAAAGAATTTTTTTCTCCGTGCATGTAATAAAAATGAGCAAAGTCCTTGTAACCTGACCACCCGTCTTACTTGCATGTTGACCGCTTAAATAAACCATATTTATCTAAGAATGCTATTGAATTGCTATCCTCAACTTTTATCTGCTGACGAGAAGGGAAAAAAAACTTCTGGAAATATTCAATGTTATGCTTTAGCATTTCCGCGGATTGGGGAAATCGGATTGAAAGTTTAACAAACTCAGTGGTAAGTGTAACGCAGGGGAAATCTATTAAGGACTTGTATAGCAATTGATTAGTAAATAATCATAATAAAGCAATAAATTCTAGGTGGTTCCGCTCCTTTTCAAAAAAGCAAATATCATTTTACTTATAAAATACATAATTTTATGCACGAACATTTACTTAAAATGTTAATCGAAATGAAATGAATGATTTCCTGGATTAGAAAAATTACAAACTGTACTTAATAAAAAAAAATTAAGCTTAGAAAACGGAATGTGTGATACAATATGAAGTAATTTTACTCGTTAGCGATATCCTAACGTCGTTATATAAGATCTTGTAGGTAACAGTTTTTTATCATTCTTGAGTTACGTTTTTATTTATTAAAAAATTCAATATAAATGAAGATCTAGCAACATCTAAGCATCTGGCAACATTTCATCGCACTCCCTGTACATTTTGCAGCTCACTTTTGTACTTTCATTATAATTATGTATTAAATTTTGAGGCTTATCCGATTAAGCCACAAAATTTTAGTGTAACATAAAGAATGTAAAGTAGTCGAATTTCATTAGTTGCGATATTTTAAGAAATTATTTACTATACGAAAGCAACTGGCATATAGAACTAATAAAATATTCACTCTGTATCCTAAAAAAAAATTATCAAACCGGAAGTCTTGCAGTTTACCTATGACGTCATAGTTCAAATTAGAGTAAATCAATGCATTCGTATCATCAAGAGGAAGTTATAAATGCCTCTTATTGTACTGCCATCTGCTGATAACAGAGAGAACCTCCATCAGGAATAAAAGGTGAAAACATATCATTTTTGGTTTTTAACTATATCCAGTTAAGCATTAAATTTATATTACTAATTGTAATTCATTCCAATAATTAATCTCATAATATCTCACAATGAGGTAATTACAGTTATTTCTTAAGATATATGTGGTATTTGCTAAGTAAAATTTTTAAGTCAGGTTAAGAAAAATTAATGCATTTTATATTTATTGGGATACATAGGAATGACATGATATAAATCATGTTGGTATTACATACACGGGTTTCACTTTACTCTTAATCAATGACAAATAGAAAAAACGTAAACTTGGATTTAAAGCTAAAGGAAAATTTAAATGTATCTGACTTCCATAAGCATCTCTTTCAGGCAGTACCACAGAAACACCGTTTGTGTGTCCAACAGAAAACGGAATTTATCCACACGAAACAAACTGTGGGAAATACCATGTGTGCAAAGGTGGAGTGGTCGAAACTAAACTGTGTCCAGATAAGGAACTTTTCAATTTAGAACAAAATAAATGCATCGACGAAGAAGAAACTACCTGTGGAAAACGTATACACCCTAAAGGTATGACAGATTGCTCAAAGCTAAAGATTAGTAAATTTAAAAGTTACGTTTTTTTTTAATGGGTTATGATTTCTTTCGATGGCATTTTAAAAAACATTAAAAAAATGCTGAATTATAATAAACCTAAAGAACTTTTTGTAAAATAATTGATAAGCTAGCACTGCAAGAGAAAAAAGCTACATAGTCTATTGGTGCAGGACACAAGAGTGCTGAATAGCCTCTTTTAACTAACATTTCTAAAGAAAAAACTCTTAACAGCTCAGATGCAAACTTAAGTCATGTATCTTATCATTTTAAATATTTTGTGATGAACACGATTGCGTTTATCAACATCAACAAATCTGGTCTTTAATTTTCTCAGAAACTTATTAAATTTAATGAAACTTTGCTTAAACTTTTTGATATTTTAATTGATGACAGAAAAGCGCAAACCTTTTGGCTATTGAACATTTACCTCATAGACAAGACTGAGTTATTATAAAGGCGGCCCTTTTTTTAATCAAAAATATGCGCATTAATTGGAAGAACAGATGATTAAATATAATTATTCGACTTTTTTCGTAACTATTACGATGGGGAACAATATTTTTTCTTATCTGTTGCATGAGATTTTTTTTAACGGATCTTGAATATTTTAACATATCTGATTTCAAATCTGCAATCGGTTTTTCTCTCCAAGCTAGTTTTTATTCATTTTTTAAACGACAATTTTAGTCTATTTTTTGTCGAAATGTACAAACTTTTTAAACACGTTATACATGATAGTAGGTCACCTAAATGTTACGACTTCTAGGGGAGTTAGGGTACATCATCAAAACCAAAATTGCATAGGAACCTGTCATGAAAAATGTCGCCATACTAGAGGAGCTTCTCTATTAAGAACTGTTTCTTTGTGTATAGGTAATAATAGGGACGCTTCCTTAGCCTCCTACGACAACATTCCCGGGCATGGGCTCTTATTAAGTTTTAGTCCAAACGATGTCCCTAACTCCCTTAGAAGTTTACCGCAACATTTACGTGACCTCCTGTTATATATAACGCTTTAAACCTTTTACATCTTAACAAAAAATAGACTAAAAATGTCATTTAAAAAGATCTGTATTTTTAGGGGCAAAGCTAATTTCATATTTGAAATTATTACCCGAATTAAGCAATATCAAGTATTAGTATAAATGCAATCCCCAATGTTATTCTCATAAATTTACTGTTCCGTTTTTTCTCCAGTAGTGCCTAAAACCAAAACAGTTTTCAGACTTCAAAAATGGTCAGATCCTTGTCTTCTGTTTAAGTTTCTGTTCATATTTTTGATACATTAAAATATGGTAAATTGTAAATTTTTTTATATATTATAGAGATATACAAAATGCCTAAACTATGTGCATAATAGTGATAAAACAACTTGTATACTATATTTATAAACCAGCTGAATACCCGTTCTTCGTACGTGGTGGAAAAAAGTTAATAATTAATAAATCAGTATTAATCAGCACTGTGAAATCAGGCACGAAACTGAAAGACATATACTGAAACAATAAATTATGCTAAAACAATTCTTTTTTTAAAAAAAAATATTGTTGCCCTTCCCAGCAGCTTTAGTTTATCAAATTAAGCAAAACATGCATTATAGAAGTGCATCTCTCTAAAATAAATATTAATTACATTTAGAGTCATTTCCATAATGCTCGATGTCGACTCCTGATAGTCAAAAATTACCCGAATCAACAGTTTTCTCCTTTACACATCCATTTCGGTGTGCTGTAAAAACCTATTTACCTATTTTCCCAGAGGTATCTTGATACCAATCGTAGTTTATTTAGTGCTTATTAAAAAACTTCAATTAACACAATAGCAGTTGTGTATATTAATAAAGTTAGCTGAAGTTGGCATCAACAACAATAAAGCTATTTTTTGTGGTTTTCCTAGATGAATAAGTACCTTTTCACCATTAATTTCTCCATTAATTTTTTGTACCTTTCACCAAAATTAAATAATTGTAATTTTCGAAAGCAACTTATAACATTAATATTTTTAGGATCACTTTTGGTGAATGAAATAACATCGGTACTTATTTCGAATGCCATAAAAAATTACGAAAGTATTATTGGTGCCATAAATGCTTAATTGAATATGGTATTAAATACTACTTTTACAGTCTTTACAGGTGATATGGTAATGAGAACCTATTAAACCAACATAGGTACTGTGTTGAAAGGTTTTTTTGCCGTCTTCCGAAACTGATGAGTACCCCAATATCACCATAATACACATACATAACCATTTTTTTTCTGCTATTGATTGTATATTTCGCAACGACTTCATAATATTATATTTATTATAAAATAAGTAAGACGTTCAACTCACTAAAAAGAGATTAACTATACATATAGTATCATTTAAAATGAGATACTCATACTTAACCATAATTTTTCCATGGCTCAAATGGTAACTTCAATTCTATTTCACTAGTATACCTTGAGTTTCCAATGTTTAAGTTTATAGAGACACGTTTTATAGTCACAAGTATCAATGAAAGAAACTTGTGGTTTCAACCGTATAAAATACGAATCGGTGACGTCATCACCATACATTTTGAAATTTTTAACGTTGATTTTACTTGTAATAATCTGCAACATATTAAACCAATGATAAATAATTCATAAAAATGTGCAATAAAGCTAATTTTTGATTGATTAGACCTGCAAGCTACCAAACCGCCTTAAAATAAAATATGCATCAAATCTTATGGGAAACTCATTCTTTGAGATGTAGTTTTAAAGTTGACAGTTAGGTCCGCCGCGTTATCAAATGTATTTACACCAAATTTGGAGCGGATTGGTTCAGAATAGCGGATTTGTATATTATATACACACATACAGCCGACCAGGTAGCCGAGTGGTTAGCGTGTTTGACTGCGGAGCCGCTGGTCGCGGGTTAGAATCCTGCTCAGGGCATGAATGTTTCTTTCTCCTTTGTGTGAATGTGACCCACCCTATAAACGGGTTTGTGGTTGCGTGACGTGGGCGACGCTGCTCCGCCACCGTAGCTTCGCCACTGGTGCCCACTGGGTAACGAGAAGAGAGTAGCAGTTCTGGCATTTCTGTGGTCAATGGGACAAACCCAAGTGCCCGCCATTTAAAAAATAAAATAAAAATGCAAAAATAAAAAAACTACACACATGCACATAAACATTCCACTTAATTTTTATAGATATAACGAAACTTGTGAAGAATATGAAAATTTATCTAATCAGCATTAATAATTTTATAATAAAAAAAAGAACTTATAAAATAACGTAAAACTCCTTTGCTCTGTTAGGGAGTTAGTAAGTCCTATCATAAAGGTAATAGAATATAATAGATACAAATGTTGCATTACTTTAATCATTTTTCAAATTTAAATTTTTAACAAGGAAAATAAAAAAATTTGGTATTTAGATATTCTACCATTTGTTCAAATTTTTAAAGTTTATTTTAACACCACGCATTTTTCTAGAAAATATGAATGTAGAGTTTTACTATACTGTCACATATGCGACAACTTCGATAAAAAATAATTTATTCAATACCACTATTATTTAATTCATTTATTTACCTATTCATTAAATATTTCATTCTTTTGACTTGACATTATGTCTTCGTGCAGATGATCGAAACAACAAAGTTGTGGAAGAAGAATCTGAATTCAATTGCACCAATCGGCATGGCTGCTTCACACATGAGCGGATGTGCAAGTGGTACTATTATTGCCATGATAATAGATCAGAAGTGAGAGAATGTTCTGGAGACAGGTACTTCGACTCTGAGAGAAATAAATGCTTGGAATGGTGGATGGTTGTCTGTGACAAAAGAATAACTGACCCAGAAAGTAAGTACCTCTGAAGAAGTACCTCTCTCTTCTCTATATAATCTAATATGAAGCATCGAAGATATATCGAATATTCTATAACAACTCAATCTGCTTTCAATAATTCGGTAAGAGAGAAAAAGAAAGAGAAAGGAAAAGAAATCTCGTCTCTAACAAAGAAATGGCACACAAAAAAAATATTAAATTTTGCCATTGAGCAAAATTTTTTTACTTTCGAAGTGCTGAATTTGATTGTTCTATTTAAAGGTCTTTTAAATGATTTCTAAGTTATTCACAAAAAAAGATAAAAGGAAAAAAAAAAGAAACACGGTATTATGCTGCATAACAGAAAGGAGAAAAATATACTAATAGATATATCTTAAATTATCTTTAGTACAGTCGGCAAAAAAAAAAAGATATCACCCTGAATAATTTTCGTTCTAATGATCGGATTTTCACGAACTAAGTGTTAATCTTAATGGTTCCTGGGGGTGACCTCAAATATGCTAATTAATTAGTGCTAACTATTAATTAAGTTACGAAATCAGACACAAAAACGTACTTTCTCTGAATAAACATATATTTTTTCTTACATATTTGGATTCTTAACCTTCAAAATATAGGGGGTAGCCGCAATCTG